CCTCATTTAAATATCAATATTCAGAATACCCCTTAAGCTCTTAGCTATTTTTAATGATGTTTGTTATTTTATAGCACTGATACTGTCAGAGCTGACCTAAGCAAAACAATTGAAAAGTTTGGCTTGGTTTTTCTGGTGCATTAGATTCTCTTTTAATCTGGCAAAGATACAGAAAAGAATGAAAGATTAAAGAGAAATATGGTCTCCTGAAAAGTCCTCCTTTTCCTGCCACTTGTCTGCAGATGATAAACCATGCTGAGGTGTCCCGACGTTCAGGACATGTAATGCACAGCAGTATTCTCACAGCATGTAGACATGCACTATCGCTACATCACTGTGTTGCTTCGGTGTTTGGGGAAGGATCTCCATCATTATACTGTAATGTATACATTAAGGACTAAATGAATTAGTTGTCCAGATTAATATGAAGTCCAATAGAACAGGACATCATGACAAAACTCCATATTGGATGTTGTTAATGACAACCAGTTTTCAACTGTGTGGATTCTGCTGAGCTGAAAGGAGAAGTCAGTTGGCTTAAAGGTTATGCAGGATCAATAAAATAATTCTCTATAGATATTAGTTAGCAGCAATTAATTGTTTCTTTTATATGTATCAGATCTGTGTTTTAGCACTACACTGAAAGAAGAGCTCCTGCCCCGCACAAGGGAACTGGGAGAGGACAGGAATTAGTCAGTGTTGAACCTGGTAGCTGTGATTTTTAAAAATCTTCTCTTGTTTTTAAATTATTTTTGTTCAGTTTTTAAATTATTTTTGTTCAGTTTTTTATATACAATGATGAACGGTCTGTTTGATACAGCCATAACACCTTTTCCTACACTAACAAGCATATTTCTGATCCTTCTGTGTGCAGCTGTATTAACTACTACAGGTACTGATTGATTGATTGCTTTGTTCACTGAGCTTACATAAAGCAATTTGCAGACAACAGTAGCACATTGTTATCTGTTTTATTTTGTTTTTACACAAATTTGGGATTTAAGTTATTTTACTTTTTGATTTCTGTAGTCAAAAATCTTATTGTGAACCTTTAAATGTGAGTTTAAACCTTGTTTCAAATCTGCTATGCTAAAGACTAATTAAAACACATTTATATAAGCACACACAAATGCATATCGGTGTGCAGAATATTCAATTAAAGGGAGAACATGCTGTAATTTCTCCAGTGCTCAGAGACCATAGAGAAAATTAACAACCATTAAAATGGGCACCTATTGTGCTCAAGTATTTGAGCATATATGGTACTTTTCTCCTCTACATGTGAATGGCTAGTATCAATTGATATCCCTAGCCTTAATGTTCTTTTGATGTAGTCTATTGTGGGTGGATATTTTTCCATAGTACCTAGGTTTATGTTTTATAGTGACGGGGAGGAGTATTATTTAATACCGGTCTTGGTAATACACTGACTGGAATCCTGTATAATTATTTCATGTAATCCCATAACAAGATCTACCATTTATGTGGATACTGTATATGATTAACTTGCCTTTGTCAAAATGGTAAAGTCAATGTAATCAGTCAGTAGTAGCTACCTATGTCCCTGTAACATATTTGTTTAGGGCCAGATTGTTTCTGGCCCCTGTATGGCTACATAATAGGGAATGGCACATGGGACTCTTCCCTGTACACGAACCAGGTGCTTCCTTCATAGGGGCCAACCCCAGTAGCAATCTCTGAGTTCCAGTGAGTGAGGGAAATGCTCCCTGGTGCGCTATTCACTCCAAAGAGCATGGAGAGGATATAGGGTTATGACTGGTCATGAAGGGGAATGCACACTGGGGTGGTGCAGTGGGTGTGCGCCTCCTGAATTCTGGGAAGCTCCAGGACAACTAGGGCACTGTGATTCCACGCTGCCTCAGTGCCAAGTTGTGCATTAGTGGCACAATCTGGCCTTTAATTTTTAAAATTTAGTCTGGTAACACAAAGATTGTGACAGACTGGCAAATTTTATATGGATATGATTATTTGTAGTGAGAGAGTGCCCAGAGGCCCCAACCAAGATCAGAGCCCTTATTGTGACAAGCACTGTACAAACACATAGTGAGTCACAGTTCCTTCCCAAGGGCTCTTACAGTCTAAGTAGACAAGACAGACAAAGTGGGAAGGTTAAACACAAAGTGTTGAGCACCCAGCATTTGAAAATCAAACCTTGGTAAGGTTTCTCAAGTGGTACACCTGGGATCACTAGTCACCTTTGAAAATCTTGGCCATGACCTCTAATTTTTTTTCTCAGACCTCTGCAATACCAGGATGCAATATCAATATTAAACACTGTGTGATAATGAAAATTTGATTTCCTTACTTTCGTCATAGCTTTAGCTATCTTTTTATGGAGCCCTAACTAGGCATTTTAGTGCCTGGAGCAAGCAAGCATATTTGCGCCCCCCACCATTTTTTCCTCATTTTTCCACCCAGAGATGATGGGGGGGGCACCCAGGGTCACATGCCCCCCCCAGTTTTTTTGGTTAGACCCCCCCAACCCAGACAAGTTGGGTGGCCCACTGAGGTGAGTCAGGGGTTGGAGGTGGTGCTCCCTCCCTGAGCCCCGTTGCTCCAGGGCTGGCCCAAGTCAAGCCCTGCCAGACCGGGGCTTTATGTGTCGCCTCTGTTTTGCCCCATTTTTCCACCCTCAAGAGCTTTGTGTGGCTGCCCCATTCATCCTGCCCTGGTTACGGCCCTGTCTTTTTGTATCCTTTTGTACGGTTTCCACTCTCGTTATTGTTTCCATGTATCTACAGATTTCAGTGCAATGAAGCAAATCACAGAGCCTAAGTTTTTTTTAGGGAGAATGGAAAAGAGTGAAGATTTCCTTTTCTCTACAGCAGCTGTGGCTAGATTTTGAGCACTGCTGAGAACCTATTAGTCATCTGGAACTCAAATCTCTCAAGATCAAGGCCATAAATTGTTCCTGAATTTCTGTGCATAAATCTAGTCTTCTTTACCAACTAATCTATCCATAGAATGTGTGTTCAGGTTTTTATAACATGCTCACGTAGTACAGAAAGTTTTGAAATATCACCGTGGTATGTCACCAGTCTCTCTCATCAGTTTTAGATGGTTGAAATGTTTCATCTTGCATATTATAAGCAGTGTCCCTCAAGGAGGAATGGAATTTAATCCACTTGAGCCCAATATCCAAAAGGTCACATATTGGAAAACTGATCTAAGATCAAGGCTTCAGCGCCTGAGAATCGAATTTAATTATTCACAGATCAATGTATGTCAAGAAATACTAACAAGTCAATACAGTCACAGAAAACATCTTAACTACTAATTATAAATCACAACCAAACCCTCAGCTCACCACTCAGACCGCATACTAGTTTTTACTGTTTGTCTGTTAAAGATCTGCTGACCTCCTATGAAACACTTTATAGATGTTTCACTCTATATGCATCCGAAGAAGTGGGTTGTAGCCCACGAAAGCTTATGCTCTAATAAATTTGTTAGTCTCTGAGGTGCCACAAGTACTCCTGTTCTTTTTGCGGATACAGACTAACACGGCTGCTACTCTGAAACCTGTCTTTATAGAAGCAGTTCTATCTTATTTCTTTTTTTGTTTTGTTTCGTCCCAGCACTTAAAGGAATTTTAATGAATGACTAAAAATAGTGGCTGATTAGCATTTTTTTCCATCGCTAGGAGAATCTGAGAAATTTGTTATGTTCTGGATTGTTTTGCTTTCTTTATTTTCTGTTAAGAAAATGTAAATGAGAACATGATCTTTGTGCCTTAAGGGTTCATTTGTTCCTGTTGCTTGTTCTCCACATGAAATCACAGTTTGTGATGTAATTTCCATCTTAGCCAATCGTGTAGTCAAACAGAATTGTAGTAATATGTTAGGAATAAGCAGGAGGAACAGATTAATATTTAAGGCAGAAAGCCTGCTTTTATGCACAAGTTCCTATAGAGAAAAATATATAAACAAAATGTTGATATAAGGAAAATTTATTTCTGTAAATTCCCATTTTTTTAAAAGCTACAGTTTTGTCCCTTATGATTAAGGCTAAGTTTTTGTCATGGATATTTTTAGTAAAAGTCACAGACAGGTCACGAGCAGTAATGAAAAATTCACGGAAGCCCGTGACCTGTCCTTGACTCTTACTAAAAATACCCATGACAGCCTGTTCTTCCCGGTGTGCCTAGCCCACTCTTTGGGCTTAGGGGTGGATAAATGACCCCACCTCCTTCTTCCCCTTTTGTGTCAAAGGAGCTGACCTGCTTTCCACAGTGAGTGTAGTTATGACTAGCACTTGCAGAGATGTGAGGGGTGGAGCCTCCTTGTGTATTTCACATGCGCACACACTCAGAATCTGGCCTGTCATGATTAAATGACATGCTAAATGTTTTTTCCTGGTGTACAAATGCATCTCGAAAGAAAATTACAATGGAATGACAAAATCTTTGCCTGCTTATAGTCTCTGACAAACAAATACCTGTTTACCAAATACCTCAGCTAAAAAGGTGCTGTGTCATAAACCTAAATTTGATTAAATATATTTTTCCTCTTTCTTGGCTTTACAGAAACCAAATAGTCGAAAGCGTGTTAAGATTTTCTTTCGATGAGAGATGATACATAATATGACCTATATGTGTGTTCCTGATTATTGTATTTCACACATTGTTTTTATTATAAAATCTAGCTTTAAAATATTTCTGTACATTTCTAAGGATTTCTTACTTGGACTGAAATTCTTCACTAACCAGAATGAGAGTTTATGTTTTAAAATGTATTTTATGTGTATCTTCAGTTGAGTTGGTATGGTATGTACCTACTGTAAAATGTGATTGGCAAGTAACTTTAGTTCAGCATCTATAGCTTCTCCACCAACATGAATGGTCATGAAGTTCCTTTGGCATTAAAATGAGCAAAAGAAATGTCGGAGAGAGCCATGAGGCACACAAGCTGCGTGGCTCTTGCCTTACCAGGTAGCTTGCACTGCAGTGCGTGGGGAATTTTCTTTAGCTCTTTAGATGTTCAGGTAATTCAGTCAGCCAGAAAACTGCTGAGAAATAGACTTGTCAGTGAACAGAACAATGCTGTTAAGGTTTCCTTTTTTTATATATTTTAGGTGGCTCTGCATGCTTGTGGCGTGGCAACAGATATGGTGATTGAGCACTGCATCAAGGCTCATGCAGCCTTTGTCGTCTGCCCTTGCTGTTATGGTTTCATTCAGAACACAGTGAAATTTACATTTCCACGAAGGTGAAGAATCTAGTTGTACAAGGGACTGGAAATGTAAAGTTAAATTTGCACTATAAAGAGGGGGGGAAATCAAAAGTATGTAAATGGACAATTAATGTCACCCAAAGAATCTTAACTCTGCCCCATAAAGTTGCTGTGTCAACACTGAAAAACTATATGTTGACTTTAACAATCCAGGAGAAACAGGTTCACCTCATCAGTGACCACAAAAATACCTACAGCCTTCTTTCCAGAAATACGTACTCCACTGAGAAAGGGGATACCTACTAATTCCTGGATCAGTGTTAAGACAGCTATTCAACACAGTTCACAAAGATTTTATATGCCACCAATTATATTTGTGTTGTTAGATACAGTGCTAGTGAATCAACATGTACTGTACTAACCTCCAAATCCAAAATAATGAATTTATGGAAATTTCATGAAAACAGTAATGGGTAATGAGATGTGTGTGTGGTAGGAGAGAGTATCACATTCAGTCCTAGACACACAATATGTATGCAGTCAGTTACAATGGGACTGATTGACAAATATGTTACTGCAGTTCACCACCAGTGAAACCCCATTGATTTTGGTGGATTTACACTGGCATAAAACTAAAGTAATAACTGGTCAATCAAGCCCTCTACTCTTAGGTTAATCTTTTGATATTTCTACCACAAACTGTACTTATTGTCTTCTCCAGATTTAACATGTCCATGATCATAACCCTTAGGCTTTGGCCTTTTTAACGCCCTTGGTCAAAAAATAACACATCTTAGGAAGTAGGTATATGGGAATGAAGGCTAGAGTGTTTCAGGACAGAGTTAAGATTGAGTAGCTTTAATAGTGTATTTTCATACTTTCAGACTGGTTTATGGTTTTAAGTAGACTCTTACCTTTTGCATTTCCAAGGTTATAAAATTTGGGTTTTATTAGAAAATACAACACTCTTTGGGTCTATATTGTCTGACATAAATAAATCTTTCTATCTTAAAAGGGATTCATCAACCTAAAAATAATATATTTTTGTTTGAAAATATTTTTCTTACTACTTTTACAAGAAACATCTAAGATTGCTGTAACTGAACGCGATTAAAGAATAACTATTTGTTTTTTCAGTTTGATTACTTTGTGCATTTGACAGCACTTTATGTTCCCCCAGTTTTGTTCTATATCCTGTATAGTATGTTTCCTCTTTTGTTTGTCTCCATCTTTCACATAGCAAGAAGGAAGAAAAAATATTAAAAAAAAACGGATAATACAACTGTAAAGTTGCAAAAATGGGCAGAGGGATTTAGGGGCAGATATAATATTAGAAACTACTTTCAACTTATTTTTTAAAGGTCGACTAGATGCTATCATTTAACTTCAAGTTAATTACAATTTTAGGCTGGAAATTAATTAAGGTTTGTGAAGATGTTTGAGAACTTTTGCTCAAAGGTGCTGTAGAAATGCAAAGTGTTATGTTTTTTATTAACATTTACAATTTTAAAGGCTCTAAAGCACATAAGAGACTATCTAGCTCTCAGTGCAGCAGTTCAGCCTTGGGACTACAATTTAATTTTCTTAAAGTTGGTAATATTAGAAAACATTCCACAATAACTGGGCATAAAGTATTTAATTCAATTCTAGTGACAAATAATGCAGTTTTATGGTATGGCAAACACAAAAGGCATGTGTGTATATACTGTAGGGCAGCGGTTCTCAAACTTCATTGCACTGCAACCCACTTCTGACAACAAAAATTACTGCGTGACCCCAGGAGGGGGTACCGAAGCCTGAGCCCACCCAAGCAGAGGGGGGTCAAAGCCCGAGCCCCACCGTGCCAGGCTTCATCTTTGGCCACAGGTGGTGAGGCTTGGGCTTTGGCTCCGGGCCCCAGCAAGTCTAACACCAGCCTTGGTGACCCCATTAAAACGGAGTCGTGACCCACTTTGGAGTCCCAACCCACAGTTTGAGAACCGCTGCTGTAAGGGATATACATGGCTACGATAAAGAGTATTTATATAAAATATGGACAAAGCCAGTTTTATAAAAATGTGTAGTATTTATAATGGTTAAAGAAAAAACTTCAATAAATAGTACAATAAAACATAAAATTACATATAATGTGCCTTTTCTACTCAAGTGAACTAAAGCTGTCATATTTTCTGCTTCTGAATACAGCTTCACAGCCTCCAGATAAAAATATTTTGTTTAAAATTCAATCAAGTGTTTAAAAATTACTTCTGTTTTCAATCTTGGTTATTTCCAATGTTGATTTAATCAATCTCCTTTTCTGTTTCAGTCATCGGTTCAAGGAAGTTTTATCCTATAAGGTATGTAAAGGTATTTCTGTGCTTAGATTTTCTTTTTGTGCCCTTTTCTGCATTTCCCCTGTGGTTTGTAGTGGAATGAATTTATCTTTTAATTATGAGGATGAACACACAATGTAATGATGATGTTTAGTAATTCAGATCTACTCACATTCCTTCCACTTTTAAAAAAAGGCTTATTTTCAGTAAAATAAAATCAGATGATTTCTCCATAAAAGAACTTTATCCCTTAGTAAAGATAAGTAAAACACCCCTAAGATTCACGTTTTGACATGTTTCATTTAAAATTTTCTGGACCTCAGGAGGTCATCTAGTCCAACCCCCTGCTCCAAGCAGGACCAATCTCCAGACAGATTTTTGCCCCAAAACCCTAATTGGCCCTCTCAAGGCTTGAACTCACAACCCTGGGTTTAGCAGGCCAATGCTCAAACCACTTGCCTCTGTTGGTAATGATCCTGTATTTGGAGGACCTACCTTGGAAATGCTCACCAGCATTTTTCCTTTGTCTTCTCAGATCTCCCTGTGGACATCTTAGGTTTCTTGATGTTACACAGTAACTTAACTGCAAAAAGTCCCTGAACCTTGAGAAACCTCCTCGAACTTGAACTTGAACAGTAGGAAGAAAAAACCACGTTCCTTTCAGTCCCTAGCAATAAATAAATAATTAATAAATAATCTTAATATCTGTGTCAATGTCACTTTTAAAGTACTTTTATGAACTCCTTGTCAATGTTGTAAAAGTTTTTTGGGACAGATTTACAAATAAGTTAAGTCTGAGGACTGTTAGGTTGTCACATGCATTGTAGTTGTAGCCGTGTCGTCCCCAGCATATTAGAAAGATGAAGTGGATGAGGTAATATCTGTTATTGGACCAACTTCTGTTGGTGTGAGAGGCAAGCTTTCGAGCCACACAGAGCTCTTCTTCAGGTCTGGGAAAGGTATTCCGAGTGTCACAGCTAAATGTTAACTACTTATGCTAAACAATCTGTTCCACCTCGCATTTAGTCATCCTCAAAGGAAACCTGTACAACATTTTCAAAAGATGAGCCTGGGAAATTAAATTCATGACTCTGCAAGACACTAAAAATCATGGACTGAACAGACACACTGCATTAGTGTGTAGCTCATTGCAACACCCCACTAGCCCCCTCCTTTTGTCCTATGACTGCAGAGGTGTTAACAGGCCACTCTACCTTAAATGGAGGCCCCCACTTCTGGAGCCCCTGTGGGGGGCTGGTATCGCCAGTCCCCTTTCCCACCCATGCAGGAGGCACAAGCCCCTCCATCTAGCTCCTCTCACTGTCAGCTGTGGAAGGCAAAGTCCTTGAGATCATCATCCTGGTCTGCTTCCACCACTGCCTCTATGCTTGGAGGCCTGGTGGTTAAGGGGGAGGCACACCTCTGGATACAGCCCCTTTCCTCCAATGCCCGTGGTATGAGGGGCCTGAAGCCCTGCACCCTAGAACAGTTCCCAGCTCAGAGACCCCTGGAGGCGCTGTGGGAGGCTGGCACAACATTACTCACTGAAATTTGGCCTGGTCACTCTGCCATCATGACAGAAGGGCAGCCAGGACAAATTTCAGTGGCATTATGACCCCATGCGCCAGATCGCAATGCCAAGCCTGTGGAGCAGCAGCAGTTCCAGCATGACCTTGAAGACTTCAATTGTGGCTGCTGGTGTGTGGGAACGGTGCTAGTGCTTGCCCTGGTGGTGCCACATCGCAACATCATTCTCTAAAATTTCACCTGGCTGCCCCCTGTCATAACGGAGAGGTGGTCGGGCCAAATATCAGTGAGTGTCATTGCAAAAACAATTGCAGTGAGTGCTGGAAATTATGGTTTCTGCAACAATATCATGGCCTTAATTATAATTAACTTTGGTTATACAGATAGCTATAAGCATTTTTATATATCATATTAATATATTGGTTAAAATTATTGGCTAGTGACTAAAGTTTAAATGTGGTGGGCAGACATTGCCTGTGTCCTTTAGTTCCCATCTTAAATTCATTTTTCTTATCTTCCTTTGAGAGATCCAAGGAGACATCAAGAAGAATGACAATTCCCATATAATGATAAATCTGATTTTTTTTAAACCAATTTACTTTGTTTGTACATAACAAGACTTATAATAGACCAACAGGGATATAGCCTCTCTATATCCATGGAATCCATTCACTGTTGGTCACCTTGGTCTATCTGCTATCATTTTACTTTTCTGATGGGAACATTTTGCCTTGATTCATTAGAGTTTAAAGTTGCAAAACTAGGGCTATGATGGTTGTAGGCTTGCACCAAAAGACACTCAGAGGCCACATTTTTTATCTTTCCCTGAGGGATGGTTGGAAGGTAGGAACCAAACTATTTCACATATTTAGCTTTGACACTTTTTAGCAGAATTTGCTCTCTCCAGAGAGCAAGTTAACTACACGAAAAGCTGGATAGTTTTAATTATGATGTTCGTTGTCCTGATAATGACTGCACCATATCTACCATCAGGAAATGTGACAGGTTGATATTTTTTTGAAGGGGAAATTATATAGTCATTACCTGGACGATAGTTAAACTTTCAGGTTGTCTTCACAGAAAAGTGAGATGTTTGTGTATTCGCAAGCCAGTCCTCATTTTTCAAGTTAGTTAAGTGATAATGCTTACCTCAGAGTTCAGATCTGGTTTGACAGGCTGCAGAACTGGCGGGGGCAGTGGGCTCTCTGGGTTGGGTGGGGTAACCAGATGAAGGCAGGGAGCTCTGTGTATGCTCATTCTTTATATGAGAAAACTGAGCTGAGCCTGTTTCTTTAGAGACTTTTAAGTTTGAGTGTGGCCCCATACCCTACCTAGGCTATGTTACAGCCTGAGATATAGTAGCTACCCTTTATTCATTCACTGAAATGACAACTGCTTAGCTTTCCAGCTCAGAGTTGTTTTTACTTGCTGCTGCTTTCTCTTACTTGGAGCCTCCTCCAGTACCTCTCCCCTTAGCTCCGACTGCCCCTCCTGTACCAAAGCCAGGTGCTTTTGGAAGCCTCTGCCTGGTGGCTTAATTTGGGGTTTTTCTCTTAGCAGCTCTTCCTGCCCTGACCAACTGCTCCAGCTTCTTCAAGCTTCCCAAACAGCTGTTCCAGCAGCCCTAATAGCTGGTAAAACGTTAGAAGTCAGGCAGATACATCAGAGCTTGCAGTCCCTTCACCCAATGCAGGGACTGAGCCTTTAAAAACTATCTCTTTATATTAGGAGTAATGGTCTCAAGTTGCAGTGGGGGAGGTCTAGGTTGGCTATTAGGAAACACTATTTCACTAGGAGGGTGGTGAAGCACTGGAATGGGTTACCTAGGGAGGTGGTGGAATCTCCTTTCTTAGAGGTTTTTAGGGTCAGGCTTGACAAAGCACTGGCTGGGATGATTTAGTTGGGGATTGGTCCTGCTTTGAGCAGGGGGTTGGACTAGATGACCTCCTGAGGTTCCTTTCCAACCCTGATATTCTATGAATAACCAAGAATGGAAGGATAACCTAGTTTGATTTAAGAAAGTAGTGCTCATTTTCAGAGCTCTAACTTTGGTTCTCTGTTACGTTCCATAGAAAAGTTTCTCATGTCCGTATTGCCATCTGACATTACAGAGGGCTCTATAAAGCTGGACAATTCTGAAATAGTTCTTGCCAGAGGTGATGTTAGCCCTTTGGAGACCCTAAGCAGGAATATTTTGCCCCTCCCAACACATAATAAAAAGTGAATAGGGGGCTCCGTTCTGCTGCTTGGGGCCTTAAGCAGTTGCTTAGTCTGCTAGTGCCTAACACCAGCTCTGTTTGTCGTTGCTAGGTCTTAGCACTTGAAATTTCAGCTGTCCCACTTAGTATAGTTTTTAGGAGCATTCTTTTCAGTTGTCATTGCATTACAGTCTTTCCCCCTCCCACTGCAAGAATGGTTAACTTATCTACCCCTGCTTCATTTGTCTTGCTAGCCAAAGGCTAAAAATGGAAGTCAGAGTCAGTTCTTGATATCTTATAAGGAAGTTTCTACTTTTGTTTAAATTTATTTTGTGCTATAGAGTTAAGAGAGTTTCCCCATGTCAAGGTGTGGAACACTGGACTCCAATTTCAAATTGACTCTATACTGATTTGGGTGGGATTTGAGCAATGGAACGTTGCCCTGTCCCCAACAAGGGTGATGGTGATTCTTTGCTGCTTTGGAATCATTACTGATAGGAGAGCAGGATGTTTGAGTGCCCCCGCACTCCAGTTTGAATGCTACTCACAAATGGGGAGAGGAGGTCCAAGACTGACCCTGTGGCAGCAGGATGGCTTGGCTGCCGATTGGTGCATACGGGGAGGGCTTAAGTAGCCTGAAGTATGCCACCCAAGAACACTGCCCTGTTGTAGGGGCTGTGTCCAATTCCCCTGCTGAATGGAAATAGAGAAGTCTGATCCAGAGACAAACTCACTGCCCCAAAAATGTAGGGAAGTAGAAGTATGGGTGTGGTTATCCAAACTTAATTGGTACACACTTTCAAAGACTGAAGTGGAGCTGAAATAAGTACAACAAGTATAAATTAATTTTCATAGAAAAATATTCTATACACATAGTTTTCTGGTACCTTTGAATGTTTAAATAGGTTTTTTATGTTGAAATTAAATAACTGTTTTAAGGAGTAATGAAATAACACCATATTTCTATACTTTTTATTCTAGGAGCACATGATTCTTTGCAGATTTGCAGATCAGACCGCTGTTCAGCTTCCACCCGAACGCAGACTAATAGGTATGCATTTCCACAGATCAGCTGTTGTGTAGAATATGCGCACTATATTTTGTGATGGGCTGAGCTTATGATATATGGGAAGCACTGGTACATTTATCAATAGGGAATTAAATTGCTGTTTTCTCAGCGCACTTATAGCAGTGAGTGTTTCTATTGCTGCATCTCTTTTCACTGTGATAGTGAAGCATTTTTCCTGGTTGAAGTTTTTTAAATATGAGCTAGAGTATAATTTGACATTTTATTGATCATTATGTCTCTGCACCAGCTCCTTCCCTGTCCATACCCTGAAAAGGGAGAAGACTTCCTGAAGTTCACTAGAGACCTCTCTAAAGCCAATCTAGCTCCCATGAAAAGTATTTAGATACTCTGGCAATGGGTGGCAGTATGAAACCCCTAGATATATTAAAGATGATATAGTAGTTGGTGATAAATCATTTAAAAAATTCGCTGACAAACATCCAGGGCCAGATGGGAACTGTCCAAGAATTGTGCAGAAAGTAGCAAAGATAGGAATATCTTTAGCAGAGATATTGAAAACTTCTTTGAAATCGAAGGACTTAAGTGACCAGAAAGGAAGTTGCTGTAACTCCTGTATGAAGGGAATTATCAAGGAAAGATACAGGAAGAACAGACCTATATACTCAACTTCACTAGTAAGAACAAGCTAGATACATTAGTCAGAGTCAGTTTTTAAAGACTAAATAAGGATAATTAAATCTAGCAGCATTCTGAGAATGAAGTTATTTGGTTAGTGTACTGGCTTCCAACTCCTGGGGAAAAAACCAGTAATATATCTGTGGTAATGTGCAGTTCAGCTTTTAGCTATTTGATGTATTAAATAATAAATCATGTTTTTCTGTTTTACATTTTTATATTGTCATGGTATATAATAGCAAAAACTACCTGCAAGTTGGGCATTTCCATGCAATTAATGACCAGCTGGGCTAACGTCTCTCACTTCCTTCAGCGACTCATTAAGTGCTGGAAAATGCCCTCACCTGTTGGCCGTTATGGCTCAAGTCAGACATGTATTAATTAAAAAAGAGGGGCTGATCCAAAGTAAAGGGGAAGGCTATTATTTTTTCAAGGAAAGGCTTTTACTAGATCCCAGATGCAAACATCCCCAAAATATAGACATTCGCTGGATGATATCTGAACCTAGATTCACATCTTGCAGCTCAAGTCCATCTCTAGTTCTTGTGTAGGATAGTGACAAATGACAGATGTTCAAGAGCGGATAAAGAATTAGCTTAGCTGTGGCAGATGGATGTATCATTCCTCTGCAGTATTTAATTTTCTAAAGGGAAAAGGGAGACTACAAACTAGTTTCAAATAAAAAAACCAACAACAATTCAAGCCAAAATAGGGCAGACGCTGTTGGGGAGTGAAGGTGGATATTCTTGGCTCAAAAACACTTATGAAATACATCAAAGGCAGTAGGAGCAACTAATCTAAATACATTTTTAAAAGCTGCACTTGTGGTATTCTAGGTATTCCCTATAGTTCAGACTACTAAAGGAAATACTGCAGATTCTGAGATGATTTCCAATTTTACTTAAAAATAGATATGATTATTTTGCTATTCCACTGTATTTAGACAGAAAAAAAATTGCCAGGGTTACAGCTGACAATTATACTCCACCCACTGAGAAGGGTGTCTCCTCTTTTGCTTGTGAGATAGCCATGGGAGATGGGAAGGAAACTGCCAGTTCAAAAGAGAGGGAAGGGACATCAAATGAGCTTCTGTCAGCCTTTTGATACAAAATGTCAGGTGTTTTTGAATTATTTCAACTTTTTGTATGTTCTCTGTCTCATAGAAATTGTACACTTTTCCTCACCAACTTGTTTCCCCAAGGAGAAAAAAACACCTCATTGGTATTTCTATTTTAAAACTAACATTATTTTTCTATTCTATTCAATTAGACATTAGACTATTCTATTCTACTGAAAAATCTTTATGGGGGTGTGGTTGCTGTGGATTAAGTTTTGTTTTCAAATGACTAAACTAAAGGTCAGACCACATTTGTGTTAGATTCATGTTCTTTTGACAGGTCAAGATCAGGTATTGAAAAGCTACATCAAATGCCCTTCAGATTTTCTTTTTAAAGAAGAATTTTAAATGATTGAAAGCATGGGAAGAATTTTGGAGGGGGGTGTGTGCGTGTCTTTTTTTCTATATTTGTAGATAGTGAGAAAGTGGCTTTTTCTGCTTTTTTTCCAGTCTTTTAAGGTTGAGAAAAAATGATATATGTAGCAATGCTTACTGTGGGTCACACAACTTCTGTAAAATAGTACGGGTTTATTGGCTTGTCATACTGCCCACGTGCCACCAGATAAACACCTCAAACTTAAAGGCCTGGTCACAACAGTTCAGCCTGTTTATCTATCAGTGGTAGTTATATAGTACTAATTACTGTTGGGTATCTGTGACTAAAAAACTGCTGATTTAACCCAAACAATTACCCAGAAAAACATAATTCCCTGTTAAATAATGAAGACCTCTGTACCCTCTCCATCAGGGCATAATCACTTCCTTTCCCACTCTTCTCTATGGTGCAAACTGGGCATTTTGGTGCCCACTGTGCCCAATAATAGCATCCATGCCCAAGCAGTGATGTCACCAGTATCAATCCAGCCTACCTAGTATTCCCTATCTGATCCCAGTACTGGCTCATATATCTAAGACAAATCCCAGTGAGACCAACAGGGGAACAGGGCCCATGTTGTGACAGATATTCCAACCCAGTCTCCCAGGTGAACAATAAGTAACAATGACATCACTATAATCACATGGTGTGTGCATGTGCACAAAGGTTTGTCAGTCTGCCACGGAAGGAAATTTTCTTCCTAACCCCAAATACAGGGATCAGTGCTACAGTGCAACTAAACACAGACCAAGCTTGGCAGACTTTACTATCCTAGAATTGGGTTTGTTTTAGTTTGAAAAAGAGAAGACTGAGAGGGGACATGATAGCAGTTTTCAGGTATCTAAAAGGGTGTCATAAGGAGGAGGGAGAAAACTTGTTCACCTTAGTCTCTAAGGATAGAACAAGAAGCAATGGGCTTAAACTGCAGCAAGGGAGGTTTAGGTTGGACATTAGGAAAAAGTTCCTAACTGTCAGAGTGGTTAAACACTGGAATAAATTGCCTAGGGAGGTTGTGGAATCTCCATCTCTGGAGATATTTAAGAGTAGGTTAGATAAATGTCTATCCGGGATGGTCTAGACAGTATTTGGTCCTGCCATGAGGGCAGGGGACTGGACTCGATGACCTCTCGAGGTCCCTTCCAGTCCTAGAATCTATGAATCTATTAATAAGATTTATAATCCATTTGCCAAAATGGGGGTGGTAGGGGAAGATCTATATCAGGGAAGCAAATATGCCTGCCGGACTGTCACATCCCTGAACTATTCTCATCCAACCTACCCCATTAATCACTCCCAACCAATCTGTGTCTCTACTGTGTTCAAAGCCAACAGTCAGAATTAGCTGTGTTCATCAGCCTAGGGGTCCAAATTCCACCAACCGCGGAACCATCTTACTAGAGGTGAAGCATTATGTTTTCTGTGTAACTCAGCAATCTGCATTTTAATTATGCAGAAGAAAATGCTTGTTACCATCCATTTGTTATGGAAAAATAGTAAGATTGAACTCAGTACAGTTTAATATTTAAAGAGAAATGTTTAAATATGATATGCAGCTCTGCATCTGTGTGCCAGCTTTTGTGAAATGAACTGTAGTGACTCTCCGATCCCAAATGCATTATATTGTATTATTTTATCAGGCCATAGAAAAGAGCATAGGAGTATGAAAAGGAGAGACTATAGTAGCTTTTGCATCTTGTTCAAGACTTTATAATTATGAATCTTTAATACATCTCAAGATACTGATGAAACTTTCTTGTAAGGGTTGTGAAAATGCTGAAAGTTCCACCTTTTCTGTGAATTATCAGTTCAGATAGTTTGGACATAGATAGGAACCAAATGTATTGAATAATATTCACCTGAAATCTGTAAAGAAAACATATACCTTTGGCTTTACTTTTCTATCCTACAAAATTCTAAACCAAGAACAATTCAGACTTTTCCTCTACAGTTGCTCAGATTTATTCCCAAATATGTTTCTAAAATGAAGTTTTTGTTTTGATTTCTAGAAGTAATTAGACTGTATGTAACTGATGAGGACAGAGACGTGCATAGAATTAAGCGGCAGTCTGCAATTTGTATTAAACTGTAACACAAGGGAGGCGGTGCTACTTGCTCACTATTCATACTCTCCAAAACCGGGCATTTAATTGGTTCCAATACAAGGGTTACAGGGCTCTTTACCATATAATCCATAATTGGCATTAGGTAGGCTCATAATGCAGGCTAGGCTCTCCTCAGCCTACCCCCCCAGTACTCTGCTCTCTCTCAGTGCTAGCACCTTCCCCCCTGTGAGAGGGACAGGGGTTGCAGCAGGGTGAGGACCTCGACCCACAAAGGCTCACCTTATCACATGAGCCCAAGGTTGGGAAACATTCATTTTATTCTCTTAACTGCATTGGAAACTGGCTGCAAGTTGCAATGAATAAACAACTCCAGCCCAGTACCTCAGTTAGAAATTGACTGTGTTCCTACTCAACCCCCTGTGGCTTGAAGGTGCTTCAAGGAAGGCAAAAAACTCCCTGGTGCCCTTCCAATTGCCTCATGGCAGAAAAAATTCCATCCTGACCCCCTAAACAGGCGATTGGCTAGAGCTGCAGCATCTGTCAGGCCAGGTTCCCATTCCTACTTCAGGTGGGTAGAGTGGGCTACTATAATGGACTTGAAAGAGGCTCCATATGACCCCTGGTTTGGGCTAAATCCTGGGAGCTGGGGAGTGCTGGCCAATCAGCACCCCTCTCCCCCAGCAGGTCAGTGGGTTCCAGAGACTTCCATGGGGCGGAGTTACCTACTGTCCCTTGGCGAGTGTCTCCCTCCCTTCTGCTGGGACTGTCCCCCCTTTCATCATTGGCCCCACCAAGTTCCCCCACCCATCTTGCTGGTGAGCACTTATTTTCATGTTGCCACAAATCAGTCACCCTGGATAAACTTCGTTCAGTATTTTATTTTTGTATTTTCTGTGGAAATGGGCTAATAGTTCTGTTAAACACTTTAAGATTTCCAGATTTTAGACAAGACATGAAGGAGACTAGGAAAATGGCTATGGCTTATGGGAAGTGGGGACCAGTTCCCCTCTGCCCCACCCTCCCCCACCTGAGGAGCTGGTGCCAATCTTTCCCTAGTACCAGGAGCTGTCTTTACCTGCCACGTACACATGATGTATCCCACACCCCGTAATTTTGGGTAATAGAAAAGAACACATTGTGTTTCTCCATCCATAAAGAAGGATAATAATCCAACCTCTTTGCCATGTGAGGTTTGTGAGGCACACACGTAAAATAATGGTTGCCATAGAAATATTAATTATTTAATTACGTAAATAAAAATATAGGTGAAATGGGGGAAAGCAGATTTAGAGATGTGGATTAGGTTGCATCTAGATTATAAGTTATTTACTGCTATGTAAATAACTTTTCTGACGTCACTAATAATTGAACAATGTTCATTAATGTTATTAATGATCTGGATGATGGGATAGATTGCACCCTCAGCAAGTTCTCGGATGACTAAGCTGGTGGGAGCAGTAGATACGCTGGAGGGTAGGGATAGGGTCCAGAGTGACCTAGACAAATTGGAGGATTGGGCCAAAAGAAATTTGATGAGGTTCAACAAGGACAAGTGCAGAGTCCTGCAATTAGGATGGAAGAATCCCATGCACCGCTACAGGCTGGGGACCAACTGACTAAGCAGCAGCTCTGCAGAAAAGGACCTGGGGATTACAGTGGATAAGAAGCTGGATCTGAGTCAGCAGTGTACCCTTGTTGCCAAGAAGGCTAATGGCATATTGGGCTGTATTAGTAGGAGCATTGCCAGCAGATCGAGGGAAGTGATTATTCCCCTCTATTCAGCACTGGTGAGGCCACATCTGGAGTATTGCATCCAGTTTTGGGCCCCCCACTACAGAAAGGATGTGGACAAATTGGAGAGAGTCCAGTGGAGGGCAATGAAAATGATCAGGGAGCTGCGGCACATGACTTACGAGAAGAGGCTGAGGAAACTGGTCTTGTTTAGTCTGCAGAAGAGAAGAGTGGGGGGGGATTTGATAGCAGCCTTCAACTACCTAAAGGGGGATTCCAAAGAGGATGGATCTCGGCTGTTCTCAATGGTGATAGATGACAGAACAAGGAGCAATGGTCTCAAGTTTCAGTGGGGAAGGGCTCGGCTGGATATTAGGAAACACTATTTCACTAGGAGGATGGTGAAGCACTGGAATGAGTTACATTGGGAGGTGGTGGAATCTCCATCCTTAGAGGTTTTTAAGGCCCAGCTTGACAAAGCCCTGGCTGGGATGATTTAGTTGGGGTTGGTCCTGCTTTGAGCAGGGGGTTGGACTAGGTGACCTCCTGAGGTTTCTTCCAACCCTAATCTTCTATGATTCTGATGCCAAAGGGAACATTTCTTTGTAGATCATATATTTCTACTAAAAATTAAGGAAGTCTTTTAATGTTTCTGTTTTTGTTCTGGTATTCTAGGAAAACACTGTATGGGGCTGGTGGATCTGGATCGGGCATGGGCTGCAGAAGGATGCAACTACTCTGTCCAAGTGATGTCCATGGAGCCAGAAAGTTGCTCTCCAAAGAACAACATGGTAGTGGGTGTCCCTATTTAGGTTAAGAGATTTATATTTGATTTTAATTTAGGCATCAATTATGAACAATGCCAGGGGTTCAAACTGCTGGGAAGCAGACATCAAACATCCTGAACCCATGGTCTTCAGAAAAGGAAGTAGCAGGAAAAGGGTTGGAAAGTTGGCTGCCTACAGAGCATCACAAATCCTACTTGTAATATGTTATTAAATGACTGCTGGCTTTCATAATGAGAATCCTCTGAAGCATTCACCTGCCTACAGAGTAATATCCACCAGGAATGAAATGTTTTCTTTGTCCTGAATTGAAATGTGTTGTTTCCATTTTGAGCATTTAATGTTTTTAATAAAATTAAAGGAAATTTTGAAATAAAAAGTAATTTTGAATCAAAAGATCAAAATGTTTCATTTAAAAAATGTCAAAACAAAATATTTAGATATTTTAGATTTTTTTTTAAACAAAATAATGTTGGCAAAATTGACATGAATTCACAAAATGTATTTGTCGCTGAATCTGCATTATTCACCAAAAAAAGATGACACCTATATGCCTGATACCTCACCGCTAACCTTGGCAAGGATTGCTATTCATCTTAGATTGAGAAACTCATTGCCAGTGCTGGCTGATGTCTGTGCCATTCCTAAAACAAGTAATGGTTATATTTGGAAATGCTGAATTTTTATCTGTCATCTTCACTTATTTTTACTAAATTGAAAATTTGTACACAGTTGCATTATGGGAACCCTGTGAAAATATCAACCATATATATGTTACAGTAAAAGGAAAATGAACCTCTTGTGTAGTAGCATCTTTATATCCTAATTTAAATTAGTAGCATAATTCACTAACACAAATCAAAATAGAATATAATGAATTTGTTTGACGGGTCTACTGATTTGGTGCATTTATGAATTTTGCAATTTGTTTAAAATATAACTAAGGTTTGGTCAATGCGGATGTCACCTTAGCTCTTCAGTGAGTGTTGCACATGAATCTACAAAATACTTGCAGAGATGGGGGAAAGAAAAGCCATCCTCTGAAATTTTTTCTATCTTATGGTTACATCTCCAAAGGGTCTAGGTGTCCTTTTGTGTGAATGGCAATGGAAGCCTACATGCTGCTTCATTTAGAGATGCAGGCCTACACAAGCAGATGTAACTTCGTACCTGCATCTTGAATTTTTGACTACACTATGATGCTTTTACACTAACTTCTTGACAGGTCAGGGAAGGAAGTGTGATCTTATTCTTGTATCATTCTAGTAACAGCAAAGAAACTGCACATTGTGGGCTGAGAATCTAGCCCAAATACACCTCTGCCTCGATATAATGCTGTCCTCGGGAGCCAAAAAATCTTACCGCGTTATAGGTGAAACCGCATTATATCGAACTTGCTTTGATCCGCTGGAGTGCGCAGCCCCACCCCCCTGGAACGCTGCTTTACCGCATTATATCCGAATTCGTGTTATATCGGGTCGTGTTATATCGGGGTAGAGGTGTATATAACAGCATCTGATGTCTCCTGTAATTTCTCAAGCATATCCAAAGATAAGTTAGTTTTAGAGGCAGCAGTAACTTGTTCCAAGTCTGGATACCATCTCAGTTAAATTGACTTCTACTTAATCCAGGCATAAAGTGTGGAGAGAGGAAATTTTTTATTCGCTGCATGTTGCACCTAAGGAAGACTCGTCAGGGTAAGTCACATGGTGCAAGCTCCATTTTGTCTACTCTAGAGGCTTGCATCAGAGAGACATCTATCTAAGCAAGCCCTACGCTGTTAGTTTTAAGCCTGGTAATTGCTAAGAAGTGGATTTAAGGGGTAGGCTTTGCTGGTCACATTAGTCTAGTATCCTACTGTAACAGATGGTTTTCTATGAACTTACATTTATAAGTTGATATCATACTTATAAAATCTCTAGAGTTTCTATTTGAATAACGTGTCATTTTGTCTTGGATCCACCAATAAGGAAGAAGGGGCTGGGGCTGGGAGCTAACATTGAGCTAACATCTGCAGACATCTGCCCACGAGATGCCCATTGAATAAAAGGGGAAAAAAAACAGTAATCCTAGGAAGCAGGGAAGATAATTCTGGGAAAACATCAAGGTAGTCATCTGTGTGTGGATGTCTTTATTTCTGCCCTTTTTCTTTCTGTGTTTCTGTTATGTGAGTTAGCTGCTTTCTAAATCTCTCAATACATTTTAGCATTGCTGTATTTATGTGAAACTAATAATACACAAATGCATACATCCTGGGTGCGGGCAGTATGCCTCCTTATTCTTAATTTAATCTTATTGAAATGCATGATAATGACATTGATATTGTTCCGTTAAACTGATCTAATTATGAAAGACATATTTGTTGTCAAATTATTTGTTAGTTTTTTCTACAGTGATGCATGTAAAACATTTTGTTCGTGGGGCTGCAAAAATTCTAGATTGGGATTTTTTCCAGGCACATGAATACTTGACTTCCAGTTAGTTGTCTGATGGACCTTTAGAACATGCTTTTAGAAGTAATCTTATGGAATCAATAGCAGAAATGGCACTTTGGGTACCAGACTTACAATATCATATTAATCCTTTGAATATAATGATATAACTGTGACAAACAGCAGGTTCTGCCAAGAGGCACAGTTATTCTCATTGTAAAAAAAAAAAAAAAAATCTTGTTTCTTATACATACTATCTGCTTTAACTGTTTTTCAGCTAAGATTTTTTCTTTGGGATTAGTGAACATGCTCTGCCCATGATTTCCGTTCTTCATTTATTAGAACCATATTGAACTAGAAATATGTTGTTCCTTGAAAGGTTATTGGATATCTACGGTGACAGTCCATCAGTTTTACAAATGTTCCTAAATCTTTTCTGTAAGCACAGATAATAGTAAAGTTTGAAAGTTCCATATGTGATTTCTACAGCAACTATGTTTTTGCCCATGAACCTGTGATGATTGTGTATGGTTCCATGTTTGCTGGTGTGTGACTCAATCTGAATTCCTCTAGATCAGTGGTTCTCAACCTATTTATCATTGTGAGCTGCAGGTTGAGAACCACAGCGCTCCCCTCTTCCCCTCCCCCAAATTTCCCCCGACAGACCCCTATGCCCAGCGCCTCCTGCCCACAGACCCCTCCACAGAGTGGGGCCAGGAGCAGATCCCGACCCCGCGGGGCCAGCCAGCAGCCCTGGACCCTTGCCATGTGGGGCCAGCCGGCAGACCCAGACCTGGGCGGCCAGGAACCTGGACCCCGCCGCACGGCCCAGCCGCCTTTAGCACACAGCTGGGCCACAGCTATGTGCTAATTGGGCTGCATGTGGCCCATGAGCCACGGGTTGAGAACCGCTGCTCTAGATTATCCCGAAATTACTTTGAAAAAAATGAAGGCTCCTAATAACATGTTTTACCTATTTACAGGGCTAGCTTTAAAGTGGTATTTATACAGTACATTAACAAAAAGGAGGCACACAAAAACATTCCACATACAAAAACTTTCACTTAAACAATCAGTGGCTTTCATGGGTTAAATTCAGTAGCCTCTAGCAAGTTCCAAAATTATACCAAAACATTAAACGATGCTTTAGGTTTCCTAAATGAATAACTGATTAAAGTTATACGCAGAAGGTGAAGCTCAGAACTTTTTTCATTTGACTTTTAATTATGTCTCTCTTATTGACCAGATGCATGACTCCATAGTTAAGGGTGTAAAAAGATGCCCCTTCCCACAATCCCTGGTTCTGCTCAAAATGATTGAAAATGTTTGAAAATTCTCCTGGTTAATCTCAGGCTTGAGGAAACATATTTTGGGTAAATTAAAATAAATCATTCAAACCATTTTTCAGTGGAAAAATGACTTTTGTAATATGTGTCAAATGGTTTATTTGCTAACTTGTAATTTAAAACAAGCATGGGCTCAAGAATTTAAATTTATTACATACTTTCTTACTTCCTTAGAACTAGTGGTTGAGATGAGATCATTTGGAGCAAAACTGAACGGTTTGAGGTTTTTCTGTTAACTGACTAAACAGTCAGTGATTCCAGAGATTAAATTCTTCATCGACTCTTTGGCCCTCACCCATTAGTCTGTTTCATCTACTTTTTGCACATTGTTACAAGCCCTGATTGTGAACCTCTCCAGGGCAAGGACTGTCTTTTTTACTAGTTTGTACAGCACCTACTTCAATGTGGCCTGATGCTTGCTATGGGGTCCTTAGGTGCTACTAATACAAATAATGAATACCAATGATATTAATTAGTGGTCATTCCAGTAACTAACCTAATAAAAATAAGTTTCTAGCCGTTGTTCAATATTCTTCAGAAAGGTAAGCCAGGCACCAGAGTTGAAAGTTTATCAAAACTCAGTCTTGTTTATCAATCACAGGCCCTGAGCCATTAACCTCCAATACTCCTACCATACATTCCCACTTCCAATAGATGGCATCTTCTATCCTTCCCCTGTCCTGTACGCTCCCCATATGGCTTTAGCAGCTTCCCTGCCAATATCACAGGGATAAACTGTCAGTGTCATTCCTCTCTCTGGTTTTAAGAGTTAGAACAGTACTATTCAGTATACACAATGAGTGAAATTCTGGCTGCATTGAAGTCAATGGCAAAACTCCCATTGACTTTAATGGGACCATAATTCAACCCTTTGACTTTAAACAAACGAGATGTTAAATTAACAAAGGGTTACAAAGAACACAGAATTTCCAATAAGGAGCTAAAAGGGTGTGTAAATTGTTGCAAAGTGTCTTGACTAAACGGCATCACCCAGAAACCCTCTCCCCTTAAACAAATAGGTTGCCAAGACTAACAGTAAAACAGCAGAGGAAAATGGCTCTGGAATGCAGCGAAACTGGAAAAAAAGGTATGAACCCAGAACAAGCTCTCAGCACTGTCACAGATGGGTGAATCTGGTAAAAAGTATGAGATACCAGAATGGAGCAGACACCCAAGCAACATGGGTCATAGCTCACACAAGCACCAAGGCTAATGTGTAACATAATGACAACATGGAGAACACAGCCAGCAACTGTGTACAGAGTGTGGCCAAAGCAAATAAGACACAGGCACAAAGTGGAAAGTCAATAATGTATTAACAACGGGAAAGCATTTCACGGATTGATCATAAAATAATCTAGGGTCATATCATAAAAATAAGCTAGGGTCATACATATATTAGATTGTATTGCAACTCTGTTTAATCAGATCTTCCATAGAAATCTCATAAAATAACCATCATATCTACCAATTCAAGAACACACATGCACAGTGTACAGAGCCCAACTTCAGCTCACTTTTTCTGTGGTGATGTCTGGGATTGTAAAATACTCCAAGACAAGACAGTGTCATTTGTTTG